GAGACAGGTTTTTGAATTCTGGGAAAATGCATAATGGTTGGATTCAAGAAGGGTAAGATTTTCTTGGGTACAGTGGGAGAAAGGTGATAGTAGTGAGAAGTGGGAGAAGAAACTACCAGAGGACATCCGTAGGCCGGTGCATTTTAGGAAGAGAGCATATGGAGGGTGAAGATCTGGATCTGTTAAAGCACCCACTCCAGGTCTCAGGGCAAGTCTCCATGCATTCTGTAGTACACAGACTCCAGTTTCAAGAGTGCTACTTTACATTGTTTACATTTGATAATCAAGCCCTTTAATTGGTTATCCATAATGGGTTACTATGTACTACGTTGCCATAGCCTGTGGTGTTGATATACTCATTTCTGCCCCGGAAGCCAAGAGTATTTTATGTGAATCCTATTTTTGTGACTTCAAATTAGACGAGAATTCAAATTTACACATTTTCCCCATCTCTCTGTGCTTTATCACATGCTTAAATGCTTTAAGATTTATTGCATCCAGGTGTTTTATTTTTCAGTAATCACTGGAACTCACCTGATTTGATTATACCAATCTGTTATTTTCAAGAATTGTTTTGGTTTTTGTTTTTAAATTCCCTTTCCTGCTTAATATTGTGTTTCTGTGGATTTCTTTTCTTTTCTTTTTTTTTTTTTGAGACAGAGTCTCACTGTGTTGCCCTGGCTAGAGTGCCATGGCGTCAGCCTAGCTCACAGCAACCTCAAACTCTTGGGCTCAAACAATCCTTCTGTCTCAGCCTCCCAGGTAGCTGGGGTAACAGGCATGCGCCACCATGCCCAGCTAATTTTTTCTATGTTTAGTAGAGGCAGGGTCTCGCTCTTGCTCAGGCTGATCTCGAACTCCTGAGCTCAAACGATCCACCTGCCTCGGCCTTCCAGAATGCTAGGATTACAGGCATGAGCCACGCGCCCGGCCTGCTGTGGATTTCTTGATCTAAAAATATTTTAAGACATTTTGTAATCTTATAAAAGATCATTTGAAAAAGTTTACTGCAGTTTCTTTTTTATGCTTA